AACGTTTTGTTTTTTTTAAAGAATTCATGAGCTTTTTTTGTTCTCTCTGCTCATGCTATTAAAGTTCTGTGAGGTCAGTAGTGCCTTTGCCAATAAACTGAATGCACAGTGTTCTTTCAGTGTGGAACACAGAGTAGTATATAGGTCACAGGACACATTTTTGAGTGTCTTTTGGACCAGATCATAAGCTTCCACTGAATGGAAAAAAGACTCTGACTGAAGTGGAGACCCATGAGTGCTGCCAGTATTTCATCTGTAAGCCAGTAGCACTCCCTTAATATAAAGAAGCATGAAGAACCTGATTCTACTTCCATTGCAGACAGTACTCTTGGAAGAAACCACGAAATTCTCTATTGAGGCAATTTAGAAATATTTCCTCTTATCAAATCACTTTGGTAGTTGCTTGATGTTTTTAAAATAACAGAAGACTGGTTTACTTACAGGTAGATTGTGATCTCTTACAGAAGAGAGGAAAATAGTTATGCTGTCACTTTTGATACGCTGATTGCTACTTATTGCTCCCTCAGAACAAATTCACCTGGAAGGGAAGCCTGCTTTCCTTTCTCTTCTGTTGCTTACCGGTACATTTTTTATACACATTTATTTTATACACATTTTTTATACACATTTAAGCATCAGGGTCTTGGGATGCACAAAACTGCTTGTTAAATGTGCTAAATTGTAGAGGACCTAGTTCTAAAAGGAACGCACTCCTGAGTTTGCTCTAGTAAGTTTCTGATGGAAATCCCTGAAGTATTTAGTAGTACAGAGTTTGTGAGATGTTGTAGAGTAGAGAACAAACAGCTAGAGACTTTTTGTGAAGAGAAGTAGACTTTCAGGTGCTGGAGCTGAGCAAGCACTGGTCTCCAGTTTAACACAAATATCTGTATTGTGGCTGAGGGACATCCCACTGCTTGTACATAATGGTGGGAAAGTCAGCATGCTGAACAGAGACCACAACTGTGAGAACGTGAATGTGGACTCTTGGAAGGATATGGAAATTAATACTTGGCAAGAAAAAGTCTAAGAAATCAGACAAGCTGTTTTATAGAAAGGGAGTTGGAGGGAGCAAAAATATTCAGACAAACTTGTTGTCCCTGTCCCCCCCTGCACCCTCTTTTTTTTTTTTTTAAAGGAAATTTAATCTATTAAACTAAAAGATGGAGTTGTAAAATCTTCAGGTGGGAGACAGAGCTTCTCCCTAAAGGAGTTACTGATTATTGATGCTGTAAGCATTAGCCAAACAATGTTTATGGTATAATTCTTACTCAGAAATGCAGTTGCAACAAAATTTCTCAAATGTGAGTAGTGTTCTGTTTTGCAAGAGTATACCTGAGTATTCTCCATTCTCCCTGTTGTCCCTTTTCTGTATGTCTTATTTTTGGTAAGATAGATTCTTCCTCCTTGGATCCATTTTTATTGAGGCTTGATTGTTTTCACAAATGATACCTTATTGATCGTATGCCTTCTTTTCGGGGTGGTGTTGGAGAGGGTTGGAATTGTAACCCTTTGCTGAAAATCTTGTCTTCCATGCACGTGCTTCAGAAACAGTTTTCCAAGTTGTACCAGCAGAATTTTGAATTAAAAACCTTCAGGTGAATATTGGGTGAGCACTAAGCAGCATAAGCTGTGGTACTTCTAGGCAGTAAACTTCAGCATTCTTGTTTTCTGTGTGTTTAATTCTCTGCATAAAGCTCCACAATGCTCAGATGAACAGCTTCAGTTTCTTTTCTCTCTTCTCCTTTTCCAACTGACCTCCGGTATGGTATTTCATCATGTTCTTACTTTTTACAATTGAAAACTGCCTGGCTCTGAACTGCTTGTAATTGCATTCCTGGCTGTCTCACAGTGCCAGTTAACTGTTTTAGTTACCTGCTTGTTTTAAACAACTGAACAATACAAAATCAACAGGGCACACACAAATTAATTAAAAATGGCTCTATGCCAAATCTTACAATGTAATTGTCAATTGGAGTTACTGTTGAATGCGTGTCTTTTAATGGATTCCATAAAGATCATTGATTTGGCCCTACCTTATTTGACAGGTTTTCCAGTGACTAAATTTATTCTAATGGATCACTGGCAATACAACTTGTGTTGGATGTACAAAACTGGGTAGCACTAAATAATCAGGAGGATAGGCCATTGATACATAGCAGCCCAGATCACTTAGCTTGCTGCAGGAAAGCTGGAGATTTAAATCCAGATGACTACATAGTCATGCATCTAGGAACAAAGCGTGCAAGCCATTTTATATCCTGGGAAATAGTGACTATGATTATCTTGGAAGTAGTGACTGTGATTATCATGTTCGTCTGATTGTCATTTGTGACGAGAACAAATGTATTCTTGAATGTATCATTGGGAATCTGGAGTAAAAGCAGTGCGGTTATACTGCCTCCCAAACTTTCTAACTACCTTTAACTACCTCCCAATCTTCCCTAAACAATGGTTTCTCTTTAATACGAGGTATACTGTCTTCCTGGCAAGCACTGGCAGTTGGGTGACAAGTCTTTCCAGGCTGCATAACTTTGCCTCTACTCTCTCAGCTAAGTTGAATTCTGTTTAGGGGCAGATTTGTTCCCTCACTGAGATGTTAGTCTGGTTGCCACGAGATTCCACAGCAACTTTTACAGATAAACTGCATAAAACTTTCCATTAGGTAAAGACTTCTAGCCTTTTCAAGATGAACCCTCATGCTTCTGTTGTTCACCATAGGTGCTCAGCTCTGAGGCTAGACATGTGCTTTTGGCTTGTCCTGTGAAATTCCTTTTGGGTTTGACTGAAGTTATACACTGTTAAAATTTGCCCTTGTCTCTTTTTGCCAGGCAAGTTTGCCATTCTGGCATAAATCATCAAAGGCACAAATGTTCAAAGCATCCACACCCACCTGATCACTTTTTTATACTGGAAACACCTGAAAACTGGTGGTCCATCCCTTAGTGTGGAGGTACAACACAGAGCAAGATTTCCCCCAACTTTTAGGGAGGTCTAGGATGCTCCTTCAGTAAGTTCTTTTGGACCTAACACATGGAACCAATGACTTGACTTGTTCTCTCCTTTTCGTGCCTCTGGTCCCTGCTTTTCCAAGTTAATGCAACTAATACTGTTGCTCAAGCAATCTTCGGAATTTATTTCTTGAAGTTATTTCTTTTCCGGCAATCTCTTGCGGTTGAGAATGATTTTCTTCCATGACTCTATTTTTTCACGAAAGACACCTGTGTGTGACTTCTTTTATTGTGGAGAAGCTGCTGCACAACAGCTTCCACATAACTCTTGACAGAATGGGACCTTGATCCAATGGCTTGGAGACCAAGACAACCGGGGATCTCATTCCACTGCAGCCTTCATCTGCCTTCACAGCTGTTGAGAGTCTAACGTCATCTTCTGCCTGCTCTGCCGCTGATGACTTGTAGACCCTTCTGTGGGGGCTGGGCAGGCTAATTAGCGGTGACCATTCTCTTCAAAGTGGGCTGTACTTTGATGTATGGTGCAGCACCGTTGAGACCTGTTACCAGCCAGCATTTCCCAATTTGTAAGGTTGATGCTACCCTTGTTAAGGTATGTTTTCAGGGTGTCCTTGAAGTGCTTCCTCTGTCCTCCACAGGTCTGCTTACCATGACTGAGAGAGGAAGAGGGACTTGCTTTGGGAGATGAGCATCAGTCATCCGCACACAGTGGCCACATCCTGGTGGTGGTGCTGCTGCTTGGTCTTTTGACTCTTATTTGTCAGTTAGCCATGCTTATTTTACATTAACCTTCCCTGAAGGTCATTCCACTATTTGCCACCTGTGGACGCTCTGGGTAGCAGTACAGCTTTTCCCCCAAATGAAATCATTTAACCTACAAAGTCAAGCACTCCAAAGTTAGGAAGCATTGTTCTGAGCTTGTCTTGTGTAACCTCAATTTTCCCTGCTTGCCATGATTAGAGCTGGTCAGAATTTTTTTGAGCAAATAATTTCACTGAAGATTTCTGAGCCTGAAATGTTTCATCTGGAATATCTCAGGTTCAATGGCCTTTCACCAAATTCAGAGCAGGGCTCCAAAGAACACCTGTATGGCCCTGGATCCTGCTGGAGAGGCTGAAAGTTACAGGGTTAATAGCCTGGGGAAAGACTTACCTTGCAGTCTGATTAGGGAATGGAGACCCTGGGAAACTTCTGCAGCTATTAGATGATACTGACCTTTTTGTAACTTCCTCTCCCGGGAGCTTCAGGCATGTCAAATTCCAAACAGTTTTGTTTTGGCGTGATCCAGTTCCAAGTCTTTTGGCTTATTAAAATAAAAAAAAAAATCTTGCAAACTGGAAATGCTGCTTTTCCTCCAGCTCTGTTTATGACACATTCTTTAATTGAGTAATCACAGACTATTTTTTCTAGGACCCTGTCTTTTATGTCTTTACTGTACAGGGTGGAGGCATGGGGTGGAGGGGTAGAATGTAGGTTACACAGCAAGTGCATTTCTTGTTTTTTCACTGATGCAATCTAAATACTTTCTTTTAATGTAGGCTATTTCATATAATTAATGTAAGTACTTAAGAAATAAACTTCAAAGCCTAATTAATTAACAAGTGTTCACTTGTGTCATTCTGTTGAGTGCTTGAAAATATTTGGCTGTGATTTATGGAAAATGAAATAAAAATGCTTTTGTTTAAGACTGCCAAAGGTGAATGATGAAATTCTTTCTGTGTCCAGAAAAACTGATGCACGTATAGTAGGATCAGCTTGGTTGCACTTATCAAAGAATTTATAAAATTCCTAGTGCCACATTTGTTTGGGGAATACTGTAGTTTTTACTTCAGTGCTAAGGCTCAAGGATGAAAATTCAATGTTGCTCATGAGTTAGGAGCTGTAGTCGTTTTGAAAAATTATCCAGGCTCTTAAGTGCCTTTGAAAATTTTCCCAAGAGCTTTAGTTTTTTTTAATGTGGAATGAAAAAAATAAAATTGTGTTTTATCCTACAGAAATTTAATGCTGTACTCTTCTTGTTTTTTTCTTTAGGCACTCAGTGTTACTGAGACTCTGATCAAACCTTTGGAAAGGTTTAGAAAAGAGCAGCTAGGAGCCGTAAAGGTTTGTCCTTAATTTTCTTTTGAAACAGTTGATTTTGATTTCTCTGATCAAAGTGCTCTCATGACACATTTGGCAGAGTGTGGAGAAATGCTGATGTTTATATAATTTTACGTACCACTTTGTTTTTTCTTTGGGAACTTGGTTCAGAAACAAATGGAAAGTTTGTGCTGGGAGGGGAGGAATGTGTCTTTTCCTCTTCCTCCCCCTGCCCTCCCTCCCTTATTCTTTTTTTGTCTTGGGTACAAGAAATCCCTCACACAACGATCTGATATTGCTAATAGATAACCCCATTGCTTTACCCTGTGTTCACTTAATTGCATAATGAAAAGACTGCTACATGTTGGGGGGGGGGTGTGGCCTGGCCCAGTGGGAGAAAAGGGGGAGTAACTCAGATCCCTGGGGGAAAAGGCCTCCCTCCCTTATTCTTTTTTTGTCTTGGGTACAAGAAATCCCTCACACAACGATCTGATATTGCTAATAGATAACCCCATTGCTTTACCCTGTGTTCACTTAATTGCATAATGAAAAGACTGCTACATGTTGGGGGGGGGGTGTGGCCTGGCCCAGTGGGAGAAAAGGGGGAGTAACTCAGATCCCTGGGGGAAAAGGGGGCTTGGCCTGGCCTTGGCTTGTGGGGGGGGTGGGGCGGGCCCTCAGCAAAGAAAAGGGGGCATGACCTAATTCTGTAGGGGGGGAAGGGGCTGTGGCCCAGCTCCAACCCAGCCCTGCCGTGGAAAGGGTGGTGCAGCCTGGTTCTGACCAGACCCCTGGGGCTTGGGGTTTGGGAATCTGGCAGGGAGAAGGGTGACTCTATTAATGGCTGCTGGTTCCCTGCCGCCAAATTTCCTGACCTGTGGGTTAGATTTGATGGCTCTGCAGGCCTCATTTGGCCTGTAAGCCAGAGGTTGAACACCTCTGGTCTGGGATGCTAATCTATGTTTGCTATAGCAAAAATACAAGGTATACTCATTCCAAAAGTGAAAAATAAATATGTTGTCCAATTTCTGAGGATTCTTATGGATAAGTGAGTCTTGAGGAAAAGGATCTTACCTACTCAGTCAGTAGTTTCATAGTTGGTAGGGTTGGAAGGGACCTGAGCAGATCATCAAGTCCAACCCCCTGCCATGGCAGGAAAAAGTACTGGGGTCAAACGGCCCTAGCGAGGTGTTCGTCTAACCTCGATACTAATGTCAATGTTAGTATCTCCTGTGAGATAAGGAGTACTTACTGAATTAATTCTTCAGAAACAGACTCTTTTGATAAATCTAAAAGTTACATTTAACCAAGCAAGTGCATCTGTTTTCAGTAGTCTCTCCAAGTCTTAGTAAGCACCAAATGCAATGTCATCTTTTATCTCACATCACTTTAGTTTGTGGTTCCTTCCAGTTTTCGAAGCTTATTTAATAATATGTTTGGGGTTGGGTTCAGTGAAAGATCTGGCACAGGGACTTACCCTTCATTTGTATGTTTAGATGAGCTTAGCATGGGGATCATATTTAGTGTAACAGAGCTCAGCAGGACTAGATTCAGGCACTCAGTTGATTAAAAATCGATTTGAAATATCAGTTTGTCACTTGGGGATGTAGTATTTCACATTCTCTATTCTCTAATGGCTGCTTTCACATCTCTCTCACCTGTACTGAGTGGATAAAATGCTGTCCCCATACTTTATGTTTTAATAAATGTTGAATTTATTACTTGCAGGAAGAAAAGAAGAAGTTTGACAAAGAGACAGAGAAGAACTACAGTTTGATAGAGAAGCATTTGAGTTTGTCGGCCAAGAAGAAAGAGCTGCAGTTACAAGAGGTATGGTTGCTACAATTTTCTCAGCATTGCTGTGGACACAGGTCTTTTAGTTTGAGGTAATCAAATAAGTTAATATTAGCACAGCAGGATCACTGAGGTTGTTGAAAAATAAATTGCCATCTACTAAGAAGGTATGGTAAGACAATCAGTACTGTTGATAGAGTCAAAGGAATAGCAAACCATGAATGCATTATGACTAAACCTGCATTTTTATTAAGCTTTCACCACATGCACATTTGTACTTTTTATTTTATAGAGAAGATTTGGATGATGCACTTAAAGAAAGAAAATTGTCTTTAAAATATGCCCTGTGTTTATACTCAATGTTAAGCGCAACAATGCTTGTGTGCCTGGATTGTTTGTTTATTTTTAATTTTTGAAGACTCATGTTATGACATGATGCTCCAAAAAGTATGGGAGGCAGGAGGAGGAGGTGGGGATTAATGTCTTTATAGCATAGAACTTAAAATTCGATTTGTTTTCCATGGTATTATTTCTGTCCCCTCAGGGGTCCATTGTACTTCCTTTAGTTTTTATTTCTGGAAGACCAGTAAATAATGTATGGGAAAATGAGCTGAGGAAGTTTTGTTAGAGCCTCTGTAGACAGAAGAGTTGTTTTAACCATGAAGAAAACTCCCAAAATTCTTAACAGCTTTTGTCTATGAATATTTCATATATTTTGGTAATGCTTAAAAATTCCCCAAAGATAAGGTTTTTCTGAACAAAATGTTCCCAGCAGCCTCCTTCACGAAAAATCATTTTCACACCCAGTAAGCTATTCGGTAAGTTGAAGAACCAGAACATACTTGGATTTCTTCTACACACTATCTCTGAATGTTGTATTATTCATAAATGTTGCAAACATATATGTGCTTAGTTTTGAAGAGGTGAGTAGTCCCACTGAAGTCGATCGGGACTACCCTCACATGCCTATAGATAAATGTTTGGAGAAGCACAGGTAGAAATTGTCTGAAAAATTGATCACATGCTGAAGAAACTTTATTGAGAAAAATGTACAGGAGTTATTTTAGCCTTTTTAGAAGCTTTATTTGTAGAAGCATATCTAAAGGTCAGAAGACCTGTAGATATCTGAAACAGAAACATGACACCACCTGGAAGGAAATGTACAACATCCCAGAGATGGCCATCTTGAGGTGCATAGCAGAACCTCGTGTTAGGAGTAGAAAGTAGATGTACTGAATTTTATTTGAAAAACTCAGTACAGAAAATCCACTTAGAATAGCTATTATGATCTCTTCTATGATAGTTATCAGAGCAAATGATAAGTCAATCAACTGGTAAACACCTAGAGAAGGGAGTGGTGATTCCGAGCAGCCAAGTTGAATTTGTTAAGAAAAAATCATGCCATATTTCTTTCCTCCTTTGGTGGGGTGATTAATTTCAGTGAAGGAAATACAGGGGATGTGATATACTTCATGAAGACTGAATTCAGTATCACATTTATGAATCACAAGTCGTGGTAGAGGGTAGTATCTGTTATTAGATCAAGTAGATATTTGCAAAAAAAAGTAATCTTTATTTGCAAGCTTTTGGACACACGCACCCTTCTTCAGGCACAGAAGAATGCAAAGATTATAAAATTTCTCCCAGGTGGAAATGAAAATTTGTATTTCACAGGAGAGCTGAAGGTGTTGTAAGATCTCCTGGTTGGAAAAGTTAATTTTGTGCAAATTAGGCTCAGATAAAAGTTAGAGCAGTGTATTAACCAAATATCTAGTTATTACCAAACATTTAGTTGTTCTAGTTATTACCAAATATATAGTTGGTCTAATAAAAGATATCACCTCTACTACAAGTTCTGATTCCTTTTGCCTGTAGACCAGTATGGCTACAACCTGTATCCCTGCAACATGGAAGATATCAAAATTAGCCATTTTTTAAATGAAAACTTCTTTCTTGTAAAATTATAAAGCTGATACCCTTGCTCCTGCCTCTTGTTTTGAGGCAAATTTGCATGTTCACTGAGCACAGAGCTACCTCAATACAAGAGAAATTTCTTGCCTACCATAGCCTTCCATCAACCCATCCTCCTGTGGAATATGAAACATAACCAGAAGGAAACATAGTTCAACATCCTGCTCATCATCAGACAACTTTTTAAACAACCCCCCCCACAAAAAATGAGGTTTTCCTGGAAGAAGCAGCACGTTAGTTTGATTCAGCTCTGCAGCATCTATAGATCGGGTACTTCAGCTGGGCTTTTTGGCACTTTTATCTAAAACTGATTCAATCAGCTGTTACAGGGGTAGGCAACCCTTGGCACGCCAGACTGTGGTGCTTTAAGGCATTTTGCTTGGCATATGTACCTCTGGGTGGATGGCAGGGAAGGGGCCAGGACTACATGACCACAGCAAGGATCAGGCCCCTCATGCGTCCCCCACCATCCACCCCTGGCACACCAACATCTTGCAAGTTGAAGTTGCTGGAGTTTTTGGCTCTCTGCCCAAAAATATTGCCAACCCCTGAGCTATTAGATAAAAGTGCCAGAAAATCCCCACTAAGTGTCCAATTTATACAGATTTTGGGCAAGCTGCATCCAACTGCACAGCATCTTGTGGGCATGTGTTGAGCTCTTTGCAGGAGTGCACTGAGTTTAAAGTAAAGTCCTGGGTTTTTTGGTTTTTAACATCTGTAAGTAGCCTATGGAATTATAGATTCCAGTGAGACTGAAATCAAACACAAAGAGCCTGAAGGATTACCACAGTTCAAAATGATGGTGGATTTGGGCAACGAGTCTACATTAGAAGACTTGCAGAAAGCCATTAAATGAAGTCCTGGGAACAAGGCATATGGCAACAGCTGTTTTCC